GTTTCCATAATGGATTTCGTGCCATCTTCCCAGACGCGCCCACACGACTGCATTTTTGTCGAATTCATATATGGCAGACCTGGGAAAAAAAAACCAAGCAGCTTGTTGAGGTGAGACAACTTCAATTATGAAAAAAGCTCTAAGCTTTGAGATTTTAGTCATCACTGCGACCAGCTGTAGACAGCGCGCTTTATCGCCTTTTGAAAGAGGTGGATTTGGATAAATTCCAACGCAGATTTGCGGACATTCTTGTTTACCTTCGGACACTAAATCAGACGCATATGGCTGAATACCTCGAGAAAAATTACCTAGGTACGCTTTTGGTGACTAAACCATCAAAAAATTTCAATTCTCTATTAGGTCCTTTTAAGGGAAAACGCCAAGTTGGGCTTCATTTACGAGTAGGGGCGCCGTCCTCGACACGACAATGATCAGTGAGAGGTTCCATTTACGAATTAAGGACGAGTTTCTACATCGCAATTCTAATTCTCGTATCGATGGGTTTGTAGACCTCCTAATCAAAGCAGTAGAAGACCTCTCAGAAAATATAGAAGTAAAGGTGAAACACATTCGAGAAATTTGCCCATAGAAGGATAACGTTTCATATTGTGGCACTTTAGGACCGCCGCCGGTTTGCGGACTCAGCCTATAGATTGAGAGAAACGCATAAGCGTCATAAAACTGCGGCGACCTTTATATTCGAGAAAGCAGTGATATGGTATCCGATATAGGAGGAAATAAATTTCATGTGAAAAACAGGACATGTACGAAAACCTTCGAAGTAACCTTTGTTGGGACATGCACTTGTGATCCCGTGGTAAGTCCAACCGTTCCCAACTAATTTCCCACTTAAGAGTTATCTGTTTAGAAAAACACACACTGCATTACTTGCGGTGTTTGCGCTTACGCATGGAATTGTACATGTATGGATAATAGGGCAGGTATCAGTTGTCCTCATCGACATGCTGTCAAAATGCTGTTCCCAGACGACTTACCCGTGGAAACTGCCGTTATGGCATCAGAAGAAGCTATGTTTTGCCATCCTGAACTCGACTCGGAAGCACCTAGCACGGCAGAGCAAGAGCGCCGAGAAGCGCGATATAATAAACTTAGTTCTATCAAGAGTGTGAGTATTTGCGATTAGATAGAGTCCTGGAAATTATGGGAAATTTGAGGATTTTGCAGGTATATGCTGTGGTACAGGCCAGTGCTACTTCATTAGCCAAAACTGACACGGATGAAGCGATGCAACAGCTCGAGAAAATCTTGGGTTACATGGAACTAGCGGCAGAAGTCGCACAAACCTCGTCATCGAGCGCTCTAGCTGTTCGACCAAAACTGGCAGGGGTTGGGGGCAAGCCCCAGTTGACTAAAGTCGAGCTTTATCAGGTACTTAGCTTTAAATTGTCAAAGTATGGCTTAGCTGGTATGGGTTTTTATATAAAGGCTATTAACTCGATAGTTTTAGCGTGGAAAGGTAAGGAAACCAAAGAAACCAGTCCAAGATTTACACGAAGAAGTTAGGCGATTAAGAACCTATCGCAAGAATGAATAGTAGTTTGGCGTTTTCAAATTTTGCTCCAGGCAAGATGTCCAGATTGAAATTTGACTTTCAATGCTTTCCATGTGATTTCATTTCGAATCTGCTAAAATGAGTTTTTCAGAATCGCTGCAAGTGCCATCATCATTGACGTCTGAAGATATCAGTCTAACAGAAGTCATCCGGCTCTTCGCAACTTTAAAGGTTGTAATGAATAGCATGTTTCGGTTCTATTAATTGTATTATTGACGGTAGTTACTTTCAGTACGCTGTCCATGACAAACAAGTGCGCATCGAAATATTCCGGCGTTGATCATTCCTATTTTGTAATGTGCCACTTATTTGACATGAGAATGCATTGTTCCATTTTATCCAATGCCGTATTTCCCATTCGAATCTATTTGTTGAAGCTATAGATTAAAGAATGAGTCGGCACGATTTACCCTCTACTGCCCCACTTCGAAAACTGTCGGATTTCGATCGAAATTTGTCCATGACTGTGGATTTGGTTAGGAAGTTGTCTCAGAGGGTGACCATAGAACACTCACACACTCTTAGGGGGTATGTCAGCCCGTAGAATTACCCCCGAAGACAAGTTTCTAGCAAATCCACAGTCATGGACGAATTTCGATCAAAATCCGGCTCAGTTCTTGATGAGTGGGGCAGTAAAGGTTAAATAGTGCCAATAAGTCTGTTAGTGATTTAGTGACTATCCGATCTCAGAAGTGAGAGCTTACTTGCCGTGGCTTTCGATTCTTTTTTGATTCCGGAACACTCATGGTATCAATTATTTCTACCTCGCTCTTTAGATTTTTGAATTTTCCTAGTAACCAGTCATTTCTCGTCTTGAAGTGTTTATCATGAAGTTGCTGTAATCAAACTTATCTCACTTCAGCATTTTTTTTCTTTTTTGGGTGCTGGGTAGTTATGGTGTTGCTCATATCCATACTTAAATCCACATCTACAAACAAAATTATTGCTCCTCTTGATTTGCGATTATTTTGTTATCTTGTAACTCAGAAGAACTAGGTTCATGCTAAGATCGAAGACCGTGTCTCTCGGTTGTCTTTTTTATTCCGGTAATAGAAATCGGTGTCATTGTGCCAATAACTTTGAAAAATACGTGTTACTTAAAGTAGTAGAGTAATAAATATCAATCGTTCAGTAGTCTACAAGTTTTTCTTTGTTGTTGTCACTCTTAGGCGAGGTCATTCAAAAGAGCTCCGCTTATTTCATAAGATGGATGTGGGTCGTCAAGAAAGAGAGCGGATTTTTCTCGCTGCGGGACAGAAGGTTGATTAATGATGGAGGTGAAAATTACGAAATCATAAAAATTTTTGAGCGCAGCGAGCCTCGGCTATCGTGTATTTAGGAAAGCGTTCAAGACGCACTGCCAGATTTCGTTGAAACCTTCTGAACAACATACTGGACCCATTAAACAAACACTATTTATAAGAGAGTGAATCCGGAGCTTATTCCCACTGAAAAGTAACGGTTGAACAAAATTCCGAAAGTTTCTGCATGTTTGAGCGTGAGATAGGATGCCCGTGGTGTACTTGCAGACAGAGCGTTTTATTTTACCGTCGACGGGCATGCTATTCCAAGATTTATTCTGCGCGCTTCTTTCTCCACTCATGTCATCAATTTCAATAAGTTTTCTGTATAACAATTATAAATGCCGAAGCGTTTTTCTTTTTTTCGGGCAGACCCTCTTTGCTCGTATATCTTTGTGTTTATCTCTGTTTATTCTGGCTGTTTGCCTTCGTTTTGATCCCATTTTCACAGATTTGTGAGTTCCTTTCAAGCAGCGTATTGACTTTTTATTTAGTGGGATTGAACCTGCCTAAGGCAATATTTACCAGTAATTTGTTATTCTGACAACTAATTAGAATGGTTGTTGAATGTGGATGTGGCGATATTTCTACAAAATTCTTGGAGTTCGCTCGTAATGCAAACGCCAATCAGATCAAAAAGGCCTATAGGGCGCTGGCAAAGGTGCGTCATTTTTTTTACAAAGTCCTTTTTAAAGGTAACAGTTTTTGTGAGTTATATTATAATCGAAGGCGTTTATTAGTTTGACTCAAAAAAATCTTGATTACCTTGCTTGCAAAATATGTAAATGTAAGTGGTATCCCTGAATATTTCCTAGTGAATCATAAAATTTTCCCGTGAGGCCTCGTTTTGGCTCTCGCTCTCTCATCAAAGGCTTTTTGAAAGGGATCATTCTACATTGCACTCCAGCAGAAGCTATTCAAAAATTCTCGGCGCTATACAAGTGGGGTGGGCACGCCCAGCTTTTCACGCATGTCAAGTGACTGCCCTCACCCCCCCCCCCTAGATTGGCTACACTCCCCCTGGCTCACGAATTCCCCGATTCGTGACAGTATAGTAGCGGGCAGCAGTCCCACTTACATACATTTCTGTTCAAAAAATGCGGCGTGCCCACCCTACTTGTATAGCACCATATTCTCTTGGTATGGGAAAGCGCCTAACTGTTCTTTTATATTCAGAATAAAAGGGGCGGTGAAACTCGGGTTCGGGGGGGGGGCACGCGATGGCGCGGCGCTCTGTTCGTCTCCTCCAAGGCTTAGTCCACAGGGACAGTTACTCTTTCGCCATTATGTGGCAGTTTCAAAATACGCGCCATCGGTGACTAAGGCTGCTTTCATACTCTGCGCCGTCCGCACGGTTCGTGCGGACCGCACGGACAGTGCGAAAAGCGTCAACACGCGCTCTGGCGCACAACGCGTACTTGGCGCAGAGTCGACGCCTTGCGCGTCATGCGCCAGTGCGCGTGTTGACGCTCTTCGCACTGTCCGTGCGGTCCGCGGACGGCGCAGTCTATGAAAGTAGCCTAAGCCTTGGTAGAGCAGACGAAAACAGCGCCGCGCCATCGCGTGCCCCCCCCCCGAACCCGAGTTTCACCAAGGGGTGCGGTTCGCTAGTACAGAAAAGCCTTTTCCGCTTTCCGCGCTCGAATTTTTTTCGTCACGGGAACCCCAAGTCCAGCCGTGATCAAGAGTGAACCTGAGGTTCCCACAACGAAAAATGTTTCGTTCTGACATGGCATATTGCTTGCCTTTGCCTTTACGCTCATGGGTGTGGGTTGCTTGAGCGGAAAGCAATTTCGCTTTCCCACTGCGGGACCCTAGGTCCATCCCTGATGATTAGTAGTCCTGCGGTCCCCACAGCGAAAAACTTCAGCGCTGTGAAAAGCGAAAAAGTCAGTTTCTGTCCTTGCGACCTACACTGCGCGCCCATTGACGCCTCGAAAGTTAGCCGATGGTACACCTTGATGAGAAATTTCCTTAAATTTTCTAATTTCAAAAACAGTCTACAGCTGTATCGATTGCTGTCTCAGCTCAATTAGAAATGCAGAGTCACGTCAGCTAATGATT